GAATATTAGCTCCGTTTTATCTATAGCAGAAACTTAGTAAGATTTAAATGTAATTCAAATTACTAATTTATATAAAAAAAAACAATATTGTCAAAAATGTAATATACCATGGAACCTCGCTTAACAAGCACCTCGCATAACGAGCATTTCGGTTAACTAGCAAAATGAATTGTAAGTAAAATGATTCGCTTAACGAGCGACGTTTCGCATAACGGATTGCGCGCCTGCTACATCATTTTTAAAATTTATGAACACATATTATGTGTATTTTTCAATATGTTTCACTATACGAATAAAAATCCGGAAATTTTGGAAAGTATTAAACTCGTAAAGCAAGGTTCCACTGTACTAATCATTATAAAATGCATTGATAATACAATAAACATAATAATTGCATTTATTATGTATAACTGAATACCTTGCTCAATAAGTTCGTAGGATGATATATACATGGAGCTTCTATTGAAAAATCCATATGATGTTTAGGAACTACCAACTTTCAGACGACGCCTGAATTTCGTGTGTTGATAAAACAATACTTTTGATGGAAAAAATACCGTTGAGTTGATAATTCCAAACACTGTTTGGAGCTGTTCAAGCGAAATAAAAAGGATTTTTTTCATGCGGTATGTAACAATGGATGAAACCTGGATCCACCACAACACTCAAAAGTCAAATCGGTCGTCAGCTGAGTAGACAGCAAAAGGTTATTTTGAGGCCAAAGATAAATCTGTCTACAAGAAAGGTATCGAAATGTTAGAGCAGCGTTAGTATGAATGTGTCATTCTTGAAAGAGACTTAATCATAAATAAAGTCGAATATTGCCCAAAAGTTGCTGCTTTATTGATCAACCTACGAACTTATTGAGTGAGGTGTTATATAATAAACACATTATAGAATGTCTCACTAAATATATTATAGAAAAAATCATTATAAATGTTAGAATATTGGAATTTATTAAGGTATATTATTTATTGAATTAATATAAAATAAATGTGTTTATTAAAATTAGAAAATATTATGTATGCAAAGGCTCAAGGAAAGAGTGTGGACGAGAAAGGAAGGAGATTAGGTATTCATTTGGCGTTCCCGTTTTTAACAATGTAACCTGCATGTCGAAGCGGATACTGCCTGAATAATTTCAAATTAATTATCTACAATAATTACTATTAAATCAACGAACATAATTAATATTGAATAAATAACGCGAAGTGCGAAGGTATGAATAAAACAAGAGGAAGTGAGAATGATGTATATATGTATATATGAATGATGTCGCATTCGGATTTCGAAATGCGTTCGCAGTGAACCATTTACTAGTGTTTTAACGGTGAAGACACAAGGAGGAAATTCATTCCAAGTTTAAAATTCCGTTAATGAAAACTCGTTTTAATGAGATTTACTGCAATTAAAAAAAATCATAGTTGCGTGAGGAAAAAAATTCGAAAAAATAAAAAAAAATTTACAAAACAAGAAATAAATCAGGCTCCTTTTTTTCTTATTCTTTTTGTTATTCTTTTCAGCCTGAAAGATGTCGCTTTTTTTTTAAATACGTAACCATTTATTAGAGTCTTTAACGGTAAAGACACAAAGAGGAAATTCATTTGAAGTTTAAAATTCCGTTAATGAAAATTCCGTTTAAATGAGAATTAATGCAATAAAAATTCATAGTTGAAATGCGCGTTGCATGAGGAATGAGGCTCGGAGCGGATTTTTTTTTCTCTTTTTTGTTATTGCTGCTGTTAAGTAATTTCTGTGCATGTTGGTCCAGAATGAATGATATTGCATTCAGATTTGGAAGTGCTAGAGATTTAAATGGTGAAGAAACAAAGAGGAAATTCATCTGAAGTTTAAACTCGATTAAATGAGATTTACAGCAATAACAAATAAAAAAAGGAATTTAAATGCGCGTTACGTGAGGAATGAGGTTCGTTGGGAACAGCTTTCCTGAAGGGGGGAATCCCCTCAGCTGCATTTTGTCTCTTTTTTTGTTATTGTCGCTGTTCGGTAATTTCAGTGCATCGGGGTGTCGAGTTCCAGGGTCCGACAGGTGACGCACGTCAACCGGAAACGACTGTGCGCACTCGGCGTGTTTCCTGCTGGGTGCAGGAACTGGCTTTTGTCCATTACCCACCTGCATTGCTTACGTTATTCGTATGCTGTAGCAATTGATCCTAGGAGCTCTTGCATCGTAGAAGGTTGGAAGATCGGATGAATAGCGCGAAGATCTGGTATCAATTGCTGGAATAGCTAGTTCTCTTGGTTTAGAGGTGGATCGTGGGCGGCTGGCGGCAGGGGCGGCGAGAGAGGGGTTCGCTTTAATGTCGAAAGGTCGCGGCTTGTGTATAAATCCTTTAAAGAGCAATTGCCGCGGTGCGCGTTCGGATCAAAAGTTGAGGCGCACAAGAATATTACCACAAGAGTCTGCGTTCGATGCATGTGTAGGAGTAAGAGAAGTAGTGAGTGAGAGAGAATTCGCGTCCCGTTAATTCTTACGCCTCGTGGAAATTACATTTCACCTTTGTTACACTGCCACTTTTTTTATCCGTCCTCTCTCGCTCCTTGCGTTTGGTCTCCCCGCTGTCTCGAAATTCCTTGTCCTTTTTTTTGTATGTACGATTTAACTCTGGAAACCGCTCTCTTATCCTTCAGTTGCCACTTTGATCTCCGCTTCTTAAAAGACTCGCATGCAAAAGAGTTCTTTCGCTACTCGTTACGTTAATTATAGTCCGCACTGCTTTTCATCCAATGTATATTATCAACCTTTGAAAGATCGTTTCTAGAATTTCAATAGACCTTGCAAAAAAATATATTTTTTGAGGTCGCGTTTTGTCCAATTTTCTCCCACATACAATAATATATTACTTTGTATTCAAGGAATTTGACGTTTGATTAAATTACATTTTAATTTACTAAATACATTTTTTGTCAATCTACCTTAATTTAACATTCCTACCTTCTACTACATGCAGCAATTTTTGCTGGTTTCACCACATATACAAAACTTTATTAATTGCAATATTTTATATAAATTAAACATAATTTAATATTTAATTAAATTTCCAGATTTAATTTGCATCTGCCACATACAAAACTTTATTCATTACAATATTTTATGAAATATAAGTTATAAATTGCTTGTAAATTTCATATTTAATTAAATTGATTTTTAATCTACTTCTGACATTTTTTTATCAACTTACATTAATTTCATATAAACTTAATTACTCAATATTGAAATATTAACACACATATTAAATTCAATGCAATTGTTATTAAACTAACCGCATTTAATTTATTTTCTAAATTACAAAGCCTAATTTTCTTAAAAAAATAAAATATTTTTAAAACACCACTAATTAATAATGACTTAATTATGTAGCGCTTAAATTATTGTAATAAGTAGAATTAAAAAAAAACTTACATTTGCTATCAAAAAATACGTATCTAATGTAGTTTCTAATCAATTCTACAGTTCTTGAGATATTAAAGTTAATAATCGATGCTAATCTAAGTAATTATAGACAGATTACGCTTTTATCAAGTTCTTCAGTTTAACAATTTATAATATTTAATCAATGTACCAAACGATTGTTTTGTGAAATTAGATTATCTGACCTAACATCACATTTAAATTTGTAGATAATTATTATATTATTAGAAATATTTGTAAGATTATTTAACTTTTATCTTGATTTTTGAAAATATCAACACCGTTAGTGTTCTCGTATTTCCCAAATTTATGTATTAATCCAAATTGTTAAAAATGCATTAAAATGCAATTCTTTTCTGATCTATTTAGATACATAATCTAAAGAAAATGATAATATTAATAACATTGTTAATATTGTTACCATGTAAAATCCACATAAATAATCAAAATCCTCTTATCGTTAACTTTTATGACCTGCATAAGATTCCCAGTTGTATTTAATGGCCTCGGTCCTAGACCAATTTTTAAAGTTATCTCATGTTTTATTGATGTCCCCTTGTTACGATTTATACCGCATTACATGTTTACGCGAACGCATTTTGTCTTATTACGATTGTATACGACAGTATGTGCCATGTTTGGTTTGAAACTCCCACTTGTTACTGTACATTGGTCTGCTGTTTCGCAAAGCTCATAGTTTGTTCGTGCTTTCCTGTATAAATTGAATTTGTGTGTTTCAATCGCTGATACAAACAATGAACATTTTAACTCGGTGCATCGTCGCCATTTCAAGGATTTTTGCTCTATTGATTTTTTTAAATAAATGCACTTTTTTGTAATTTTTGTTTTACTTGCATATCTCAAGTTTACTTTTATTTGTGTCAGTTTAGTTTTAGTTATTTTTGATCAGGGCCTCATCTTTTGATGGCCAAATTAATTGGACTCGACGTTTCCAAATGATATACGCATTCATTAAAAGTTCAGTTTTGTGCGCTCTCCGTAGCCGAGAAGCTACCGTAACGGCAATTAAATTCATTTATATTCGGACATTAAAACGGTTTTATGAATGCCCATATGCAAATCCGTTCGAAAGTTGTTTACACATTCGACTTTTCCATTTTACTTCGATTTACCACATCCGAATTATATGTAAGCAATATTAAGTAACAGGGTACATACTAGTTTTAAACGTCCACGTAAATATTTTCAGAGATGAAATATTCAATATATGTGTATATAATATTAGTGTACGTTCAAGAAGTAAATTCGTTCAAAGGTACAATCTACTATTTAAAGTGCGGCAATTCATGTTCGTTAATTTATATAAATACAGTCTATTCCGCTTAATCGGGACACATCAGGACGTTCCGATTTAACGACTGGCCCAATTATCCGAAGATCCGTTTGTTTCCGTTCTTTAGGATTTGTCCCTAATAAGTGTTTGTCCCAATTAAGCGAAATCTTCTGTACATATATTTGATAGGATTGATAAACAAATGATCAAATATAAATATAAAAATGTAATTTATTAAAATGATTGATGTTTTGTATACAAAGATTTCCTTACATTCTAACAAACTAATAAATAATACTCTTCCATATATATATATGTATAGAACTTAAAAATTAAATCACATCTTCAAAGCATCTTGCAGCTTCCTTCTTGCATTGGCAACTCTCTCCTCTTGCCGTTTGATATCATCATCAGCTATATTAACAGCCTGCACCAAAGGCTGCTTTGGATCCAAGAACACTCCAGGATTCTTCTCGAGAGCGTTTTTAGATCCAGTTTGACCAGTCACAGGTTGAGCAGAAACATGCAGAGCAGTCGCAACACTTTGTATAATAGTCTCATCAGTGACATTCGGGCCAACAGGTTTCAAACCTTTCGGCAGTTCCATTCCCTCAAATTCCACTCCATCCATATCACAAGCACGTAATCCTTCCAGTCTATTAAATTGAAAGAAACATAATTAAAAATAACGTTTTGAATTAAGGAAATTGCATGTTACCTTTTCTCCCACATCAATTGTTTTGGTTTCTCTTGCACTCCATGCTTAAAGTCTGCTTTAACTTTACTCTCTTGAGTCTTGTACACTGTGACTGGTTGCTTGAAAATTGAGGCTGTTTGTCTGATCGGTGGGACTAGAGAAGCATCATTTCTGACTCCTCGACTGTAGTACATAACATCCACTTTTCCCACCTGAATTCCTGTCTTCTTGAGGACATCGGCGTTGCGATCCTGATGCTGCCATCGCTTAGGTAACGAGGAACACTCGTATTTAGTTTTTTCAATGGTTATTCCACTCATTATCCCGTATAAATTTCTGAAATCTTTATAATTAAAGAATCATAGACAAACAAGAAATAACCAAATACAGACTTGCCTGTCTTAAGTTCTGACGGAACGTTAGTATTTGTCGGTAATACAGGTTCCATTTTTACTAGTGGGCATGCGCCTTACAGCCAAGTAATAATTTTAAAGTTATCGATTAATATTATATAAATGAACATTTAGTACTTAAACTTTGCTTTCAATTCTATTAGATTTACAGTGTTTAAGTTTTTAAAAATATTAAATTTCACAAACAGTACAATACACAGCACTAATACACACATTACAGACAAATTCACATTAAACTTTTTAATGAAAATTTGAAATAATTTACAAAAAGTATTTTATTTTAAAGAAATGTTTATTAAACTTCTTTAACATTTATTTCATTTCATTTCTTTACATTTATATTGCTATTTTTTTATTTTAGTCAACTCAATTTTGTATATAAATTCACAATTCCTACACTTTACCTGTATTTCTCGTATACATGGGCCAACTTCGACTGACTGATGTAAAATACATATAACTTTTGTAATTTTATTTTTTCAGATAAATGTATAGTTAATTAATGAATGACCTCCATTTTCTTGTTAACACGTAATGACTCTTTCTAATGCATTTCTGGCTCCAAATTTGTTATTTCTTTACAAATATTTTGTTTAAGCTAGTTTATTATTTGTGGTTTATTCTGGTAAACCATCCCCACAAAAATAAATCAGGTGCCGTTCATTCGGGAGAACGGGGATGATCTAAGGCATTGTTCTGAATCCCGTGTTAACAATTATTGGGCCAATTAAATTTTCTATGGAAACAACTTCAAATCAAGTTTCAAAATTCGTCTTTAGCGATGTTCTGGAGATGCCAACCTGAGAAGCACGTCGACGAGCAGCCACAAATGGATCATCGTTAACACTGTCATACAGCCACCACAGCTTCTTCAATGCAAATAGTACGATGAACATTTCATCATTGATGATCACATACTGCACCACGTTCCTAAAAACGACAGATTAAGTTTCTAATCATGTTTGCCCTGGGAGCTGTTGGAACATTAAAATGCGTACAGATTTTTTTTTGTTCGTTCTAACAATACATCGTCGGGTAATATAATAAAATTCTACAATTTTGACCAGTTTTTGCACTGAGTATGTAGCCATTATAAAATTTCTAAATATTCTTTATAATCTACAACAAAAATACATTTAAAAAAATTCAAAAGTTATAAAATTTTTAAAACAGTCAGTCCATGTTGACTCACCCTGTACAACCTTCCTTTTTCTACAATTATACATTCCAAACAACTCGTTGAATTTATATTATTTGATATAATTCAGTTGAGAGTTTTCGTTGAGACCTTTATTATCCTGGCATAGATTTGAACAAAAAACTGCACTAAAATTTGTAGTAATTTTTGTTTATATATAAAAACGAACTATAAAATGAACCGTAAACTAATAGCTTTTCATCATAAAACATAAACTTTAATCGCAAAACGTTTGTGTATAACTGAAATTAAATAGATATTTTTGGAATTCCCAATGTAAAGGTTTCAAAATTTATGTTTCATATTCCTGTATAACAGTTCTTTTAATATTGATTTTACTATGAAGTTATTATTTTTTAGAAATACTTTTATTTTATTTTGAACTTTCTTATTTTTTTTAATAATTGTTAATTTCTAATTAAAGTTATGTAATTGATAATTTCCATATTATAATTATTTTAGTTTATAAAAAACAAGGATGAAAAACAATTAACTCTCTTCTATTATATTTTCGAAATGTTATACAATTGAATGTTAAACCGAATGCAGAAAATGCATATTAACATATACTTTTATTTTATTTTTTTAAATCGTGTAAAAGCGAAATCGTACAAGGAAAGTGCCGTGTAAAACATTTATTGAACAAAGTATAGTTGTATATACAATTTGTTTTTTAAGCCATGGAAGCTAATGGATAATGTTATACGTAAATAAGTGAACAATAGCAGAAGATTTATTGAAAATATGAAATAATTATTTACATTTTGAATGAATGATAATATTTATTGAAACAGTAAAATTACAAAATAATAAAATTCAATACAATAATATAAATATAAAACTCAACTGCTTCCAAGCGCTATTGACTATAAGTCTTTCTGCCCTTTACATTTTGATTAATAATTAATTTATATAAACATTTATAAAGAAAGAAGTAAAGTAAGATTGTAGGTGTTAATTAAAATCCTACATTCGCTACATAGTGAATTGAAACTGGTTCTGTTTGAGAACCGTTTACTTGTTTACATGCAAATCTCCAGTCTATTATTAGTAAGTGCTTTCTTCGAATGCAATCAAAATATTGCAACTAATTGCAATTCATTATACGGTTATAACGAGCACGACTGAATTTTTCCATATGCTTTCGGCGCAGCCAGGATAGGCGGAACACAGGTATTAAGTTAACTAGGAAAGAGAATGTGCACTTTCCGATTCCGTGTGCATGGACCCCACTAAAGTGATTGTGAAGTGATTACATCAATAATAATCGAAATCATAATAATCATAATCATAAAACATTTGATTTTCGGTCAGAAATTATGATCCGAGATTGTGTAGGCACGTAGCGTGATCGACGGTCTTCGAGCTGGAAAAAGTATTTGGTCCGTCCTTGGTCACGTTGCATAATGGCAAATTGCATTCTAAGTGAACTCTCTTGAAGATCTGAGTTGAGCTACGTGCACGGTGGACTTCAGTTGGATCACATACCTATGGTACGGCGCGTGATTACACGAACAATAATAATGGTAATAATGATGATAATATTGATATGGTAACGGTCCGTTTTCTTTATGTGCATATGCATGTGTCCATTGTCTGCCAGAGAGCACAAAAGCGAACAAGATAACGCTACCAACGGCATAGCAGATTTCCTTCTATCCGAAACGCTTCCTGGATGAGAAACAAAACGCGCACAACGTGAAGAGTAAAAAAAATATCGAGAGCATCTGGCAGATGGAAGACACATATACACATAAAGAGAGAGGACAACCCTTTCGGCCTTCTCCTTCATACCAGACCGTTGCGTAATTCGAGAGGTGGAAGAGACGTAATTAAAACGAACAGAATGGCAGAAGATCAGCTTTTACGGATTTGGATCGAATCATGTATTACATGTACTACACTATATACTTACTATATATATATGTACAAATAGTATATAGAAATGTACGTATAAAAGGGCGTTTCGAGCGAACGGCCTTGCCTCGCACAATGCAAGGTCGTCCATAGAAAGTATTATGCACCAAGCTACACACTCACCAGGCCGACAAACCGCTCGTACTCGCAGGCAACGCCGAAGAATATAAATATTAATATAATGTACAAGAGCAAAAAAAGGAAAGAAATAAGCCACGAAAGGTGTACTCGATTTAGTCATAAAATTCAGATGGGCCTCCGGACATGGGTGACCGGATCCAATGCGTATCGAAAACTATAGTGACGGTAATTACGTCCACAACCAAGGGTTCGACCAATCATGAATCCTATTTTTTCTTTTCTTTGAGGAATCTCCAATTCCCAGTAGAAATGCGCGTAGAAACTTGAAGACTTATCTTATAATTCCTACGTATCCATGACACGTACCGTAATAAAACATAACTTACCATATTTTCAGATTATTACAGGTCATTTTGTTCAAACTTAAGTTAATTGCATTGCAATTAAAGGTAACTTTGTAATAAAATAACAATCAAAAGCAGTTTATAGTTTAGAGAGTTGTTAAATAAAAACTGTACAAAAAATATTACAAACATTTATTCTATTTCGACTATTAATTGTTTATTACTGATTACTATAATATAACTGAAATGTGGCCTTCGCTTTCTCGTGAATTATAATATTATATTATTGTAGTAAGATAATTAATTATTCCACAAGTTACGAGTTATGTTAATTGTAATTCCTAATGACTATAATTTAATCGATTTTCTAGTAATTCCTACATATTCGTGAAAAACTTTATTAAAATTTTCAATTGTTAAACTTGCATTATGCAGGTGAATTGACTAATTTCTTAGAAAATTTAAAATATTGATACCTCTACTCGTACCCTTAACCGTGTCAAAATATTTTCTTTTCGTTTGAATGTAATGGGATCCATATTATATCCAACTATTTCACTTCAGATTTAACAATTATATCTTACATTCTCTGTGAATTATTCACATATATGATTATTAACAGTAATAACATTTTAATATATAATAAAAATACACCTTCTAACATCTAAGTACAAACATTTCTAAAATATTATTTTGATTATAACATCAAAAATTATAAAATACATGTTTTGAAATTTTAATCGTTAAATGCAATATAATAGGAAGATTAAGGTATTGGTCAAACAACATAATTTCCAAATATCGTAAATAATTCCATTTCGTATTATATAAGTTTAGTCATAAAAATAACCGGAACTGGAATGCGGTCTTTAGTATTTTTGTTTACCCCGGTTACTTTTCGAGAAGAGGATCATCGTCCAGCCTAGATATCGATTCGTACACTTTCATTTTGGCCTACTGAAAGTAAAAAAAAAGTTTCCATCGAGACTATCACCAAGTAAATGCATGCTTGGATTTCCGAGCTCTAAACCCGTTCCTCTCAAAATATCGAAAATATTGTTTAATCTTGTCGTCAACATCGGCTGCGGTTATCGTCTCGAGCACGGATTTGGTTTTCTTCTTTTCTCTCCACAATAACAACCATTATAAAAGTACGTGGGAGTCGAATTAACAGAGCTTGAAAGTGGCCGAGCCCGAGTGAAAGAAAATTAAATCTCCTAGACAGCGCCGTTCAATCGAGACAAACATAACATGGCATTAATGATATCTATTCACGTTGTGTTGTTACTCTTGGTATTGGTTGTCTGCAGAATTCCTTAAGAGACGTCGCGTTCCGTGTCCATTGGAGGGATGAGATGTTCGTAGGTGGACCCTGTTGTTATTAGTACGTTTAAAGGATATGGAAATTACCAACTGAAATTAGATTTGACGATATCTCGCGATTCTACAGATGGATAATGCCATTTGGTCGCTCTTCGAAAACGGCTTCGCTACACGTGACTCCTCGGACCATTTATGGTGCGGCCAGAGAGACGGACACGGCCTGAATAAATCTCCACTGTAATCCAACCAACACCCATGCGGTTTTCCATTGCGATCGTCTCTCTTCGCTTTTTGATAACAATTGAAATGTGACCATATGGTGCATATTTACGGCCCCTCGACTATTTCTCGCCCACGTGAAATGGCTAAAACCGTACCGAACCAAACCGAGGCGAAAAAAAAAAAAAAACGGGAACCGTAATCTTTCGCTCTTTCCTTATGCAACCAGAGACCACTTAGGTCAGGTCAGGTCAGGCTTTACGTAACTCCCCCCAATACAACAGGAACTTTCGCCGTCGCCGCCGACTTTGTTTATAATTGCCAAACCCGTTATTGAATTGCATTCTACTCCGACGCCTATTTTATTTGTCGCCACTACTGCAGTTGTTGCTTTTTTTTATTATTACTTTCCGATTGTTTCGCTCTCTTTGAAGTAAGAAGACAAAGGACTGTTTGTCTGTCATTTGGAAATGGCGCGTTACGCCCGAGGCGCGCGCTTTTCCCTAGTATCGTTAGAATTTTCAATTTAATTGCATTTCGCGAAAAACTTTAATTTGGTAACTGTTTTTCTGACTTAACTTTTTTTGTTGATATTTTGTAAATCAGACTCGTCCCTGACATTTTAATTCAACGGAACGTGGGGAAAGACAGACCGCTTATTATTATTTATACAATAATAATTGTTCACAAGAGCGCGTTCTATTTTCAAGTCCTTCTCGAAACGAAAGTCCTTTAATAATGCTCTTCGAAGACTATATTCTCTTATTTCTATGAAAATAAAAAATATCTTCAAATTTTCAAAAATATTTTAGAAAATATATCTATTTCTATGTAGACAATGAAAATAAATATTTAAAATTTAATTAGAAAATCAACTGAAAGTACATTAATTTATTCTATGTAATGAGTATTAGCAGGTATAGAAATAAAATAAATAATTCTGAATTAACTGTTTTAAATTTTAAACTGTTTAATACCTTCTCCTTAAAGATGACTTTAACTTGCGGTACCCTATAAGAGGTATCGTAGTATAATATAATTTAACTGAATACGGTTTGAATACCACTGGTATAGAATCTATTTTATTGTTTCTATGCAGGCTAGAGGCTGTGAACAAGATTCAAGTATTTGGGGATTCTTGTTAGTGAAGTACATCTAATGTACACAAGGAAGGTACGTGTTCAGATATAATTGGGTGTAATGTGAGTACGTTCGTAGCGGCCGTTTTGATAATAATAATAATCATCGAGTTCCTGTTATGCGGCCTACATTACGACGAAGGGGGGCTCGATGCAAATGCCGTCGAGCCTCGGATTTGCATACGTACATACGAATCAAATTTATAATATGAAAATATAACATTAACGGCGCATTTAACGATCGCTATCGCTGCCGCCAATTGCGACAGGGAAATCTAATTTAATTTATACATTCGAAACTCCCTATGCACGCACACTTCCCATCGACCGTTTTGTCCATGGTATAGTTTTCTAAATTGCATTTCACCATGATGTTACAGATAGGGCAGTATGACTGACTGCGGCGAAGACATTGGCGAGAGTCTGGAAGATGCTCGCAAGCTGATCAAAGATCTGAGGGAGAAGAGCCGAGCCCAGGCCCAGCAGATCCTCGCTTGGAGGCGCGCATACAAAATGCAGGTTTGTATTTGGTATACAAGATGAGATGTGCAATGCCGGATCTAAAAGTGAATGCCGATGTTTTGATCTTTCGAAATTGGAAATGTTTATATACATTTATACTCCCACTGGAATCTTCTACAAAATAGCAGCAGTATTTTTTTTTAATCAAATCAACTTTATTTCTTAATTTTTTAACGTTTCATTGAAAATAATAGTAAATCAAAATATTTAGAGAATATTGTAAATTATATGTTATTTTCATTAATATATAACAATAATATCAGCACTTTGTTAATGTGACTACACATTGCTACATTTTATCTTTATATGATGTTTGTTGCTATTAAAATAGTATATTAAAGGAGAATTAGTTAGTGTTAAATCACAGAAAATAAAATTGACATCAAGCAAAATGTTGTTAACATTTAACATGTTCTAATTTTTCATATTTCAAAAATTTGGCATGAATTTCATAAATTATTTCTGCAACAATATTTTTATAAATCAATCATTTTCTCTTATTTTTTTTAAATGTATACTAGCCAAATATCCGATTTAATAAATTAATTAATAATAGTTATTAATTGTTAATTTATATCAAAGCTAATTATTGATTGAAAATAAATTTAAAATTATCTTAATAATTGCTAATTTTGTAATAATGTGATAAAATTGTAAATGCTTTAAAAATAGTTGAAATTGTGCGTACAATACGTGTTTGAGACTAGTTTTTAATTGTTTTGATTATTCATAAATAGTAGTATACATTTAAATCTGGAAATAGGATAAATTGTAGTAATTTTTGTTTTGTTATTTTTTAGGAAGTTTTGATAACTCGTTTGAACCGCGAGAAGGCTGATCAAATGAAGACTCTGTCATCGAAGCTGCTGCTATTCGAGTCCCGATTGATCAGGAAGCAGAAGGACATTTCCGTGATGTTAAACCACAGAGAGGTGATCATTCATCGGCAGCAGCGGATAATTGAGACCCTGACGAACCGTTTAATTGACAACGGATTGGAACCTCCTGTTTCGGACCTGACTGAGTTGGACACGAACATCCTGGACCTGGAGTCGCTGAACGACTCCGACAGTGCAGTCGTGATGGAGGAGGATGCTGAGGTGCACATTCCGAAATTCAGGAACTCCGATTCGATCACGGTGGTCCGATCCATTTCCGATGCCATCGACCCGAACCTCAAGTACACGATACGCCGTTCCAACGGATTCCTGCGGCGACCCGAGATCCTGGAGACCGTGTACAGCGTCGAAGAAGACGGCGACAACGACAACAGCAATTCCATCGAGGTGCAGACAGAGGTGAACAAGAAGAGAGACGCTTTTGCAAGCGGAAGCGCAAAGGCTATAGTCACAGAGGAACCGGAGAAGACGGCACCACCGGATTGGTCACCCTACGAGAGGTCAGACAAACCGCAGGACGATCCCAAAGTAACTACATACAATAGAGTCATGTCCAATCACAGGTCGGTGACGAAGCCGAAGGACGTTAAATACAAGCGCATCAACAAAGCCAAGTCGAAGAGTCTCGAGGAACTGCGGGGCAGGTTAAAAAATTGGGTCGAACAGGGCAGCAAAATGGCAGGAATCTCGCTTGAGCATAGCCAGAGCTACGCCTGACTCGCCGACTTAAAATCGCCTAAATGATAAATTTAAGCCCTTTTAAAATAATTATAATAACTTTCCTACTGTGTATTTTTACGTTTGTTCTCTTTTAAGTACAATTTTTATGAATATTTACTATAGTGATACTGTGTAATTATTAGCCATTGCCATTACTATTAGATTTTTTTAACGTAATTAATTACATCTATATTGATTAAGCGTGCGTTGTAAATATTCTCTAAGGAACAAAGCAAAACAAAAACTATCTTTCTTCAAAGCGTCCAAAAAAATCTACAAATACGTTTTTTTACGATATATTTAATCTATATCCTTTGAAGCAAAGACCGTTTTTATTTTTTCTACTAATCGAATTGTGATAATTGTGATTTTCTAAAAGAAATAAAGATGAAGATATAGCGTGTATCAATAAATATAACAAAGTTTTATCTATACAATCTATTTAAACAAAACAAAAAAAAAGACATAACTATTATATTCGATAAATCTGTAAACGTGAAACAATTATTAATGCAAAAAATAAAAGCATAAGCAAAAGTATAAACAACATTTATTATATTATTATATAATCTACATATCATTGTAGTCAATATTATGACGACGAATTATTATTAAATATTTTAATGTGTAATTTTAATTTTTATGTTACCAGCATTAAAATTTCAATTATTCGAGACACGAATTTATGTAAATAATTGATGAGAAACAAAATGAACAATCTTAATTGCGTACCTTGTATATTGTAAATATATATTATTTTTGTGTGTGTTGTAAATTTAGTTCCTTAACTGAATCACTATTACTATACTTGGACTCACCAAGTGCATTGTATTTTCTTGCTTCGAATTGAAATGCGGCAAAAAAAAACTTAAAGCATATTTAATTTATATGAAATATATATGTATAAATATATCTAAAATTAAGAAATGTAACATCTTAATAAATGTGTGTTTGTGATTCTATTATTTATATTCTGCTGTTGAATAGTCTATATATATATGATACAATTTAAAATATATATATATATACGTGTATTCTAAAATAAATGACAATCCTATATGTTGCAATTATTATTTGCAGTTTTCCTTTAAAATCTTTCTCTCTTGTACATGCTAAAATCCCTTCTCGAAATGTATGTACGAATAATACGCGTTATTGATTTCTGATTATTGGGAAAACTCGTGCGCGCCTTTTGCAAATACAAAAAAAAGGGTATAAATATTGGATTAGCCTTGTGCGCAATTGCATGCAAATCGGCCAATTTAGCATCCTCTTGTTTACATAACAAATATCGCACATAAGACAAAATATTATATTTTATTTGTAAATTTAAATATTAAAACATTAGCACAACTTGACACAATTCTATAATTTTCTTCTTGAAATAATTTTAAAATTAGGAAATACTGATTAATAACTGTTAAATTACAGCAACCAAAATAAACACAGATTGATCTTATATAATAAGTTTTGAACAAATTAATGCAATTCATGAAAATCTATTGGTAACAAAACATTTTATCCTATTATAATATTATTTAAACGATAAACTCCACGATAGTTTAATTACACTAAATTGAGTCGACAATATATTGTTTGCTAAGATATTTCTTTAACTTATATTAATTTACAGTCTTTCATGCTTTCTTTTATTTAAATTTTATATTTATAATAAATACAGTAAATACTATAAATTAATGATTTGTTTTTATCATAGACGAATCATGATACAAATATACATGTATATATTTATTCGATTTACATAAATGATATTTAGTCTTTAATATAAGATGCTAAATGTCTAGTTAAATAAGAGGAATTACTCTATAAAGTATTATTTTTCTTCCTCCTACTTCTTTCTCTGCCATTTAGCTGCGTCCTGTATAAAGTAATTAAAATGATGTACATTATTCCATAGTGTTTAATATTAGAATATTTCCATAGTTTTATATTAAATATTATTATTTATTATATGCAACCAGTATAATAACCTGGCTATACAAATAGTATATACAGTACAGGCTACTTGTGAGCACTTGTGAGTAGGGAAAGTCTGCTTCAAAGGATAATAGTCTCTGTACATCTTAACATATGGTTGATTTGGTAACTGGTAATCTTTCATGTTTTAGTTGGCAACTAAATGATGAGCTGTTGGTTATTATTTTTATTTTATTGTAGATCAGTGCGACATTCTTACGTTCGCTTAATTATAAGTTAATTTAAACCCATTTAGTACTACATCTATAAACACTATCGAAAAATGGAACAAACAAGCAAAGGTAAATACCTTTATAAATCCTATATTACTATTATGTATATACATTGTTTATATTAGCGTTAAATTCCTGTCTGCTGAATCATAATCAATATTTGGTCCAATTTTCCAGATGTGATGGAACCAAAGGTTGCTCCAGAAATACTCCTGAAACAGTTTCTGTATTTATCAAATACAATAGGCTACAATCTGTTTTTCACTGGAAAACCAGAAACCCATAAGAACTTTGATGCATGGAGTCTTCCATTTATTACTGACCTATTAAAATCTGGCAACCCCCATGTAATATTAAATATAATAGAGAATACCAATGGATTGGATGCAATCCCAAATCGAGAGACATTATTTTATGTGCTGGCACTAATTACATTGGCAGAGACAACACCTGCATTCAAACATCATGTATACAGGACAACCCTTCAAGTAATTAGGAATGATGAGGACTTCTTCAATTATATTAAATTTGTTACAAGACTCAATAAGACCTTCTCCAAGGGAATCAACAAAATTATTGCTAGATACTACTTAAACAAAGAACCTAAACAGCTGTTAAAAGATTTTGGATGTAAAAATGGTTACCATGGATGGACTCACAAGGATCTAATAAAACTGTCACATTTGAAATCCAAAGATTTGTGTATTTATCAAAGTTATTACTTAAGCTTAGCTAGTTCATTTAATACTAACTGTTGCAGTTACAAATGCTATATTGGATTATGTTCTTAGAGGTTCTGCTAGTGGAATCATTAGAGCAAATGGTGATAAAGAAGCATTATCTGCTATTGAGTACTTGGATAAATGTAAAGAGTATAGAAAATGCTTAGATGATGATACTGCTGCTGAGATGTTAAGTGAACTTAACTATGATATTACTTATCCTCCAGATGCAGTAAAGAAACCATTAAAGGTCATATTTTATTTTTTATTTATTCAAAATTCTGTAGCTAATTGTTTTTCAGGTTTGGGAAACACTGATTGAGCATATGGATTTAAAAGATGTGATCAGGAATCTAGTAAAATTTTATAAATTGTATTTATTGAAACTGGAAAGTTCATTCTGCACAAAACTGATTGATATTTTGACCAATGAAGAAAAAATTAAACAGTCTAAATTGCAGCCTTTGGACGTGTTCATTGCATTGAAGCTCTTTGAAAATGGTGGAAAGTGAGTTAATATTTTCAATATTGACTCGTTGAAATAGTAAATAAACGTGTGTTTTTATTCTAGGTCAAGAGATCCCCATCTCGTGAAGTACTTGACAGACTTAAAGGCAGAAAATGACAAAGTCAACAAAAAGCAGAACATTATAACTTCTGCAAATATCTTAATTTCGGACCCGATTTCATGTCCTCATATATCCAATGTTCTCAATCTGACGCTACAAATGTCCACTTGCAATTTTGAAACAACAGGCAAAAGATTTCTGATAAATATCGTTTTGGACAAAACCAAGTGTACTACACTAAATAATATTAATTGCGATGAGGCTGCTGCTATTATAACGGTACCTTACGTAATTGCTGAGAAAGATGTGATCGTGACTAAGCAGCTTCCCAATGAATGCGTAGATTTCGACATAGATTTCAGCAATTTTAAGGATGCAGTAAACGCACTGAAAAAAGCAAATAAACTGGAAACTGATATCCGCTATCAGAAAATGGAATTCGACTATGCAATCGAAAATCAGAAACTCGTTGATGTGTTCATACACATAAGCGGCTCACCTGTACAAAATATCAAATCAACAACTGAATCTTTCAACAAATACAAGGAAATTATGAAGATGCCGTCTGCAAAGTAAGATTTATTATTATTATTATCGTGTACTGTGTTATATAATATATTTTAACTTCTTTTTAGATTGGTGCTATTAAATTTTTACAATACTCGTAAGAAGAGTTATGATGAAAGTATATTGTCTATACAGGGTTTCGACACAAACATCCCGAAAATAATTAACGCTTTCATAAAGAATTTGTTTTAAAATGATTACAATTGTTGGTCTCATAGCACTTTTATTTTTTTAGTTTTGTGATATAATTTTGAATAATTTACTAATAATACTAAGTTGGTAATCGAATTAAGTTAATTTAAATTATTACTATTTTTATAATTTACATAATTCTACAATTGTATTGATTTGCTTACTTTTTGAGATTAATTTAATGAGATTGCCTTTATATATTGAATTGAATTTAATTACAATGTTCTAATTTGTTTATTATCGAAGAAATGCTTATTTTTTTACACGCTTATATTTATTCTACAAGAAGTTACATACTTTGGCTTTATGTATTGATGTTTATGAATAAAAATGTTAAAAAAATATATTTGTGACTAAACACACTAAACCATTACTATTTTAGTTATAAAAACAACATTTATTTTTTTAATTTATCAAAATGTATTATTTATTCTAATAAATTTTTGATTTTTTTCCACATTAAAACCTTTCTTAAATTCGAAGATTTTCATAGCATTTTGTCAATGTAAGTATGTATTTAGTTCCAGTTAATCGTAAATATTTGTACTTATTAAACTAAATAATATTAAATACAAAAAATAAAACAATATCAATCTCTTAAGTAATTAGTACTTCAGAATACGAAATGAACATGAAATTAAAATAGACATTTAAGGAAGAGAACAGCTACGTCCTGTCGACGTATTACGCCAATCGCAAAAAACAAATAGTTAATCTAGTTTTTGCTTTAAAAGGAATCAATCTGTATTTTTTTTAAATGTATTATGATCGGAAGCGCCATCTTTCAGATATAAAATTATATAAAGTTCTATGAAGTTTTTTTTGAGCGCAGTGGAGCGATTCTCTGCGCAGAATTTCATGAATGGAATGAACTGTCACGAACTGTCAAAGTCGACATATACATGTTGAATATATTTTTAATAGTGTTTTTTAATATTGTTTTAATTGTAAATAAAATTTGCAAATGTTTTTGCATTCAATGAGAAAATATTGAAGTCGTATGTGTCGTGTTTATAATTTAGTTGTAATTATCATTTAACTTTAGATTGACATATGTTGGAATGTTCTCAGCTATTAAGAGGTTCACTAGTAAAGGAGATGGGGCCTCTAGTAGTGGAACTGGGGTTGCCTCAAAGCCCCCTGGCCACCAAACAATGTCTTCCTCTTTACAGAGGAAGTTTGCAAAAGGAGTTCAATATAACAGTAAATTTAAATCCATTTTATGTTAAATATATCAAAATTAAGTTAATATCAATGTGTTTTAGTGAAAATAATCATCAAAGGTGATAGGAATGTTGGTAAAACATGTTTGTTTCAAAGGCTGCAGGGAAAGAAATTCATGGAGGAGTATATTCCAACTGATGAGATCCAGGTAACTTCTATTCAGTGGAGTTACAAAGCCACTGATGACATTGTTAAAGTGGAAGTTTGGGATGTGGTTGATAAAGGGAAGAAGAAGAAACGTTTTGAGGGTTTAAAATTGGAAAATGCTGATATGCCAGAGGAGACTGCATTGGATGCTGAATTTCTAGATGTTTATAAAGGAACTAATGGTATCATCTTAGTTATGGACATTACAAAGAGTTGGACCTTTGAATATGTTCAAAGAGAAATGCCTAAAATTCCATCTCATATTCCAGTTATCATTTTGGCTAACCATTGTGATATGTCTCATCATAGAACTGTCACCTCTGATCATATTAGCTACTATATTGAATCAATAGAAGGGTAAGCAAATTGTTGAAGATTTTTATTTTTTAAATAAAGTAATATTATATTTTGCAGAACTCGAACAGCGCAAGTGCGTTATTCTGAGTCTTCGATGCGTAACGGTTTTGGCTTGAAGCTCTTGCACAAATTCTTTAATTTGCCATTTCTGCAATTACAACGGGAAACGCTTTTACGTCAATTAGAGCGTAATGAGAAAGAGACCGATGCAACAATACAAGAGCTCGATTTGTTCGCAGAGTCGGACGACGCTAATTATACTAAATTCCAAGAAAATTTGACGCGTAGACGTAGGGAAATTGCCGATTCCAATGCGAATATACCGCCACCGGCCGTTCTACCTGTGTCTGCAAGTAGCATGCAGTTAGGAAGCGGCGGAATTAGTAATGTTGGCACAGAGGTAAAACGATCTCAGAGTGCTTCGATTATAATCGGAGCGGGTAAACCAATACCATTTGGGAATAACGGTATAATGCAGAAAAATTCAAGCTCGCAGAGCTCCGGTAAAACATCCAGTCAAAGCTCTGGTTTTGTGTCCAAGTTTGGCGTGAGAGAGGACGGTGTAGCGCCGGACCTTCGGAGACTCGAAATAAGTCCAATAACATCCGTTGAGGAATTCTGTCCGGACGGTGGTCAATTGGATAGAAGCTTTTTGGATGATGTGCAAAGTTATGCAAATACTGCCAATAACGAAGTGGACGAATCGGACAGCGACGGTGAAATTGGTAATCCATTGGTATCGGAGTACCAAGATGACTTGGAGATGGAGGAAGTGAAACCAAATGTCTTCCGTAAAGGTGGAGGCAGTAGCGATATAGATTTGGATATGAAGCAGACAAACGATGAGTTCGATTCGACTATTAATTCGGAGATTTCGGAATTAACGTCTGATGCATTTGATACTTGGATGGGGGCTGATTCAAAGTGGAGGAGGTCTCCGGAGGGCGGTGAAGATGTTAGCGCCGTTAGTCAAACATTGGATTACAGTGGAAGTACTGTTTATGATGATAGCACTAGTGTAACATCATCGAACGTTCACATGGAACTCTTAAGCTCGAAGCATAGTCATAGTCCAAGTAGGAGTGACAGCGAACAGACATCTTCCGTGACATCATTAAAAAAAGAGAAGAAAAGGGACAAAGAAAAGGTAAGCTGCATTAAAAATATTTTTCGAACAATTCTCACGTAAATAATTTTTACAGTCTGATAAAAAGCAAAAAAGTAAGAAAAGTAAAGACAAAGAAAAAGTTAAAGAGGCGAAAGGCGAGAAGAGGCATAAAAGGAGATCGCGCGAAGAGAACACTTCGCAACATCGGGATGAATTGGAAGAGTTTCTCAATGGATCAGCAAGTCCTTGTCTGGACGCGGCTTACGAGGCTATTTAATTGTTCGCTTTATTAATAATAATAATAATATATAATGGCATGTCTATGTACATGCTACTCGAATTGTGATGGTGTTTTTGGGGCGCCTCCATTTTCCCAGGAAAATAAAGTTTAAGATATATCTAATTAATATTATTATATTTACGCTGTAGACACATTTATACTTTATCATTTTTTATTGTTATATTAAAGAACTTTACTTAAAATGTTAACAATTTTATATGTACGAAAAAAAGAACATTAATAAATCAAATGTTTCAAGAATTTAAATCCATGGATCCCAGCCATAATACATTCTGCACAACAAGTTGTAATCTGTCGCGTGATCTAAGAGACATTCCACTTGATCTTCGCAAGATAAATTTTTAGAAGCTTTCGTAGCTCTAACATTGTATTCTGCATATCCTTTTACAATTTCCAAATACTTAGATTTAACTGTTTCAGAATCGTTTGGACGTAGAAGTATTTCATCGCAAATTATATCAGAAGGATTATCTCCCGCAAATTTCCGTTCGACGAATGATATCTTTGAGTCGCAATTGGTGGATTTCAACCAATCCGTTGTAGGTTCTTGGATGAATACTTGTACAGCTGACATCAACACTTCGCGTTTTTCTCTAAGAAGCTTTAATGCATGAACCATAGTCGGTTTTAACGCGTTCACTTTATGCGGTTCAAATAATTTGACAAGTTGCGGAGTTAATCTGAAAGGCACTGTTTCTGCTACCTGCAAATGCACAGCTTTACCAAATGCTGTATCAAAATCGATACCTATTGCTTTTCCATTCTTTGTTGAAATCAGAATATTGGATAGATGTCTATCGCCAATTCCTAAAAGCCAATTGCAAAGGCACATCACGGTATAGCTTTTAATAAAACTCTCGCGCAGTGCAAACAGGTTTTCAGCGTCTACGCTCATCGCATCAAAAGAGATTCTGAAAAACGAAAGATTAATATAGTTTAAAAGTGTTATTTGTGACAAACTACTTCAAAGGATTCCCGGGAATTTTTGATGATAAAGTTTGCATTTGAGAAAATGCTTGGATTCGATCATATTTCACTAAAGCATTCTCAAATATATTTCCCTTTTTTCCAGCACTTTCTAACCAGTTTCTATGAGAATTTCGAATATCATCATATCGGAATTTTGATCTTTGTGATTTTATTCCCTCCATGATAATATCTCCCAAGACGCGAGTATCTTCGACCCATTCGATAAGTCCCAAATCCTTTGTTAAAGGAATAACCTGAAATCATACCAATAATTATGTGTATTTTAATAGAGATTTAAAATTCAAATATTTTGTATGAATTCAAATAGATTAATATGAAATGAATTGAAAATGATGAATTATGATTAGTTATAATTCAATATTTAGTGGTTTTATACATATAAATATTTGTATCATGGTAGATTATTACCTCATATGTAACAATGTTCAGATTCTGTTGATTATTATCCTGCCTAAGTACGCTGTTCATCAATTTAAATATCTGTTGAATTCGTTGATCCTTCCTCAAGTCTTCATCATATTTCACCAAGAACTTATATTCTTTAGTATCACTTCCAATAATAGACAATACTACAGGTTTCCGTAATGAATTCATGATTTTTAATTCTCCTGAGAAGGATGCGATTTTAATATGGTACTCGGGTAGTGGTCTTCCCTCTCCTTTATATTGTCCGGGAATTTCAATTTCACCATTCTCTTCCGCTTTGAAATCTTTCAGCCAATAAGAATAGTATCCTAAATCGGTAGAATCATTTTCAGAAATAGTATTCTGCAGTTTAACTATTTTCATATTAATTTTCTCTACGTCAAAGGCACCTTCAAAAACAATATATATATTATATTAAAATAATTACAACCTAATTAAAGAACCTACCATCACGAATTGATTGCATAGATTTCTTATATTTGTTATATTCTTTGAATCGTTTTTCATAAACGTTCGAATTCCCATACAAACTTTGCCATATTTTATCGCCTTCGTTTTTGAAAACATCTGCATTCGGAGCACGTCTTAACTTATCCAAAGCAGTTCTCATTACAACGCTTGTAGGGCACAAAGTCTTCAACGACTCTAGTAGTGTATCGATTAGTGGATTATCCAATAAATTATCTAGGCTAGAAGAAGCAAGATTAAATTGAAATAGCAACAAAATACAAATATTTTAATATATTATACCAATCACATAAGGCTTTGGATTCCGTATTCAGATCATCCATAGACTGCTTGGTTAACCTGTATGAATATTGCAGCGCATTCGGATAAGTTTCCGCTAATTTAACTAAAAGTTTACCAACAGCTTCAGTCTTAGGAGAACCTATGAATGCTAAAAGTTGAGGAATCCATGGAATGAACATCCAGACTGGAACGTTTTTGCACTACAAAATAAATGTAATAAAATCAGAAAAAAGTTTTGACATTTGTATGCAATATACTTCTTTAATAAAATGTTGAGTATCCTTACAATCCATTTTATTCAGAAGGTTTGGAAAAAGCAGTTGACCTTCTTTGGAACCGTAAACCATTGATTTTATGCTAAACGTGATAGCAGTCGCGTTACAAGTTGAATTTAAATTAAAATTGGCTAACTTGTAGAAACCTTCAGCCATTTGACTAGTGTGCAGATTCTTTTCTTCGCATAAAACCAATTTTTCATGAAGCGTACGCAAATTATATTGAATTAAATCACTTTGACTGTTAATTTTATATTTTGCCAATGAAGAATAATCCTTTTTAGATGTCATTTTAACAATTTCATCAGTAAAATTATTCAGTGTTATTGATGCTGAAAGAGCTATATCTAATTGGTCGCTCTGCAAACCAATGTCTACAACAGAAGTTAAATGTAATTTCAAAGTTAACTAAATACGTGTGTATACTTACCAATGTGTCGGAATGCACTAATTAAGGTTTTGAACTCATCTTCGGCAGTTTTAGCCCTTAATAAAATGCATTTACTGAACATCAAATTGGTTAAATGATAATTCTTGTTACTGGGATTTTTCACAGCACTTCCGTGATTCTTTATATGATTTTTTGCAATGGATAGATGAGATTGCTTTAAACAATTATTTATCAAATTTATGTCTAAGTTAAATAGCAAATCGTCAATTCCATCCAAATTGCCAAATTTATTTTTAAACATTTTAATAAATTGATTCCAATATATGTTTCTTGTTTCGGCCTGTACAATAGAACCCATCGATTCCAAAGAGCTCTCCATCCACATTTTACCCAAACTGTTAAATTTAACTTGCGAATTGTCCGTAGTTATTTGATCATACCATTCCAAGAAATGTTGTACATCTATCGCCGTCCTCATTTGCATTATAGTCTTGAGGCGGAGCGTGCTGTACAATGGATTCAAATTCGCCCATTCTTCAAGAAAATTCTGTTGATACGTATCCAAATAGGTCTTGATAAAATTAGGATCGTTTTTCAGTACACCTATGAAGGCCAAATTATCACTGTAATTAGATATCAAGTAACTTCCGTTTGTCTTTATATCTTTCAGACAGAATTCAAGCTCCTGGAAAAAAGATTTCATCAAGTTTCCATCCTTTAAGGAGCATCTAATATTTCCTTTGATATAGTGAGGTAAGAGTTTATCTCTGTTCCACTTATCATTAAACAAATTATTTAAACAGTTTTCTGTGCCTACAACTTCACGAATATTATGAAGCATAGAATCCCAATTTCCAAGTTCAGAACAACAATGGAAGTACGATTGGTAGTAAAAATCTTTGAGATCAGGGTTTGTAGCTTCTGATAAAAGAAGATTATATGACTGTTGAGCTTTGGACCAAAACCCATTATTTTCTGCATTGATTGCTGAAATATTGGTACCGGTACAATCAAGATAGTTTAAGAAAATTGAATGTACCATGTCCCAGTTCTCTAGATCTTTGTATAACCTAAATAAATGGAATGAATGTAAATTTAATGGTATTATAAGTTCATTTATAATTGTTACTTACTCAGCTAATCGAATCCAATGCATTTTCTCGATATTCATGTAACTTTCAGTTCTCATTCTCTTTGCCGAAGGTTCGTCAAATGCTCGACGACGTAAATACTCTTCAAGAATTAAGCATCCCATTGATATTAAACCACTGTTTTGAGCGACAGAAGTTATAATGTTTGGATGAAAGCACATCGATTCATACTTCATGCTTATATCTAATAAAGCACTCATTAAACCAGAATCGTAAATGTCTGAGTCCCCAAAGATTTTATTAATTGCCTCATTCATTTTACTCATAAATTCTCCTGAATCCTTCGTTGCCGTATTCACAGCAAAATCGAAGAAGTTTGTAAATAACAAACGTGAAATTTGCGTATCGTTCTGAAGATAAAAAATAATGATATTTTTGAATAAAATTGAAAACATTATACTTACTTTAGATAATGTTAATAACGGAATTAGCAAATCTTCAAAAGTGATCTCTATATCAGGATAATCTCCGATGCGGTAACTTCTGGTAATCTTAATCTCATCCTCTTTTCGTTTACTCATATCCTTTCTCAGCCACTCTTTGGTCCGAGTCTTTTTCGTTTCCCTCGCAGCATGCATCTTGTTGACTTCCTTTTTATCTTTAATAAATCTTTTATTTTTCTGATAATTTGTTAGGAATTGCGGAACCTTAAAAACGGCTTCCTGTGTTTCAACAGTTTGATCATTATCAGGAATCAACAAATGACTGGATCTTTGAGAAGCCAAAGAAAGTCTTTGTGTAGCTTCAAACTGTGGAGCTGCAGTAGCTACGAAAGATTTTTCACCAACTGCGTACATCGGCGTTAACGAGGAATGACTCCTCCAGTTGCTTGAAAACATCATATCTTTGTAATCGCACTTGTGTAGAGCATAGGAGAATATTTTATTTTTCATCTTTTTATCCATCAATTTCAATAAGATTTCTAAACTGTAGCTCATGAATATATCCTCCGTTGAACATTTATAAAGTTGTTGCAAAATGTGGAGAAATCGCTTGTAAAATTTATTGGGCATGTCCTCGGTACTCAACCAAAAATTCAATATCTGCTCTTGCAATTCAGGTTCTGTTTCATCGAAACCAGAAAGTAACATATCTTTTGCCTTATCTATTAACTCAATACACATATCATCATTAGAATCGCAATATCTCCTATACACTTTGATTAAAATATCGTAAATTATATTCCTGCATTTTGCTTCCTTTTGACTGAAAAACACTACACATTTCTTCAATATATCAGTCAATTCAGTCACGGATAAAACATCCACCGATTTATTGACCATTTCCAATGTCAACATCTGCACGTCGATGTTGGAGTCATCGAACAATTTATTTAAGTTTATATGACATAATTGTTGATCATTCAAAACATGGAAACGTGCGTAAAGAATCTTCATCAAAATAATTTTAATATTACCAAAACTAGCTTCTAAATGACTTATGACGATGCTTAAAAACTCATCGCAAATTGGCGGATAATGTTTAGCCATTGCTTCCAGAGAATGATAGAAGTTATTGATATTATTCTTCAATAAATCATCCATTTTTTTCATCACAAGCTGAACGAACTTAGGTAACTTGTTTTCTTTAAAATCTGCGCTGTAATTTTCAGTAAACTTTAATGCAAGTCCGACAGTTTCAGCAGCTTTTGTACAAGTTTTAATTTTACTGTTACTTAGTAAATCTGTTAGTTTCTTTGCAAAACTTTGTATTGTATTTCCCCATGGTTTAATATTATTTACTAAGAGGATATGTGAAAGCTGGATGCCATGAACTGAATTTGTATTCAACGATTCTAGTAATAATCCATAGTCAACAGCAAACTGACTATTTAACTCAATTAAGTGCTGAATGAACATAAGATTGCGCTTGAAGATTTCGTTGTGTTCGTTGAAAGCACGCTTCATTAGATGATTCATCAAATTAGATAAATCTTCATCTTCAAACTTTGGAGACCAAAACAATATCATAATCAACATATCGTGTGTAAATCCGTTTATCTCATTCTGAGCAATTATTAAGTTTATGATTGGTTTAATCAAATCATCGGAGAAAGGTTTAAGATGATCTCGTACATTAAAAATTGCTTGGGCTAAGAAGAGTTTCGTGTTCAATGGAGTAGATTCTTTAAGTAAAATTGATTTAAATCCAAGTATCCAAGGGGGTTTATTATCTTTTGGGATCAACCCTTGTTGTAATATGTGCATGAGTAATCCGCAAACAGTGGACATGCATTCGTGGTTATTCAAAGGTACGTCGTACAATTCAATTTTCTTCTTGTCTTTAACATTCACCTGAGAGCGTATATCAATATTAGTAAAATCGTATTTTGATATACCTTGGCTCAGACTACTCATAAATAAATTTTGTGATTGAATGTACGTTATTTTCGGTTGCTCTTCAATCAATTTGTTTTGAATATTGACTGCAACGCTTTTAGTTTTGATTTGTTCATCAACCAACAGTTCAAAATTATAATTTAAGTTATTATTTACCAATTTACACCACAGCACATCATTACCATCTTCATTCAATCTGTTCAATAATTTATTATAAAACTCTATGTTAGTTTGGCTATTGCAAATCACAGTAACTGCAACTTTATAGGCATAACATTGATAAAGTCGAAATATTTGCATTTGAGTTTCATCAATTGGCACAGATTCTTTACATACGTTCAATAATATCTCAATAATTTTAAACAAAAACTGTTTCTTATTTCCCAAGGAACAATCTTTGCAAAGTGTATTTATACTTTCTTCATTAGCTTTTCCAAAGAATGCATCAATTAAGATGAAACTAATCGTTTTTTTCTTATAATTTTCGGTAATTCTTAATTCCTTTAAAATATCTTTGATTATATGTGAGAAGAAAATCTGGAAATCTTGGTTATTGCTAACATGAATTAACTCCTTTAAAACGTTACACATTTCTATTGCTTTTGGATGACTCAAAACACATTTGTAGATAGTATTTAGAATTAAAATTTGGCTCATGGTGAATTCTTGAAACATCAAAGAAAGATTCCAAGTAAGATTATAATCGATGTAAAAGTTCAGGGCAATCATAAAAAGATCAACAGAATTACTCATTGTTGCAGCATCGACTATTTGTTTAGTGCATAAAGTAATTTGCATTGAATTTGGATTTGATTCGATAATTTCGCGTTGAATTCTCTGACAAATCTTTGATTTATCATTGGAAATGAATCCAAGTATCTGCAAAATCTGAGTTACAAAACTAAATATTTCTTCAGGTGTATTGGCTATTGATTTAATTATGCCGAATTTATCATCAACCCAGTTTGCTATTGTTGCTGAATTCACTACTCCATAAGAACTTTGATACTGTGACAGTATCATAACCACATTGTCAAGATTTTCACTCAACCAATTCCAATATTCTTCAAAGAATTCTAACAAACAATCAAAATCTTTCGGTCCTTGTTTTAATATCTCAACAAGCAATTTACAAACTTCATCTTGTTTGATGTGTCTTACAACGTTACGCAAGAAATCATTCAGAGTTTCCTTGCTTAACAAATTGATTATAGTTTTCTGAAACTTTTTAAATATGTATAGTCCAAATTCGATTTCTTTATGATCATCAAACACTTTTTCGAAATCTTTCAGACTGTCCAAAATTATGCTGAAATTATTCCTTCCGAGATATTGAAGTTTTAAATCGTAGTACTCCAGCACATACAAATTATCACTTAAATTTGACTTCAGCTCTGCAATATCTTCACTTAAATTATATAATTCCCCCATATCTATTCCAGTTTCGCAATGTAACTTGATTAAACCTCGTAGTACAGTTTTCTGCAAATACGAAGATTGCGTTTTTGAAGAAATTATATAAAGTTTTAACTGTTCAGTAAAGATGACCATTTGAGATGGTTGAAACGAGACAATTAATTTGAATAAATCTTCTGTGGAATTATCCATAATTTCGTGTATCAAGAAATTGCAAAATTCTATATTAAAAATAATATTCAAATCTATTGAGGCAAATTTAATTATTGAATTATGCAATACTTCCAAATTGCTTTGCATATTCTTTAAGGCAATTGGATTTTTCTGGGCTAGAAATTTATCTGAATCCCAACATCGTTCCACAATATAATGATTTAAATATTCAATTAATTTGTTTGTATCATAGCTTATGTGATTTTTCGTGCTAAATATAGAACCTTCGATTAAACATGCAAGACTTGAAATCCAATTGATAATATGTTCATAACTTGTTGTTTGAAATTGAGAATTTTCTATTAAATGATGCTGGAATTCATTTGAATCTAAATGAAATTCCTCACTAGGTGCCAATTTCGTGAACAAATCCATGCACTTTTTCCTGATCCCGGAATTTAGCGATGAACAATGCTTTAAAAGAAAGTGGCTTACGTTAATTGTTGGTAACAAATGTTTCCTTTCTCTCAACACTCGTAATAATCTATCCATAATTATATCAATTTGATCCGAGTCATCTGTATAAAATGAATTAACAAATATTTCTAATATATCTAACCAATACATCTTCAAAAGTATGTCCTTTTCTCTAATGTCCACATAGATATTATTAAAAATCAGTGCCGCTCCTAACTTTTTTGACGAATCCGGATGTTTTGCAAAAAAGCGGATATTCTCAACGATTTTTAAAATATTTTCATTTTTTTCAAGCTTAGAATCTTGGGGATTCTGTTTAATAGTCCAATGCACGAATTCCTTAATGCAAATCCCAGAGAAATCTCTTACGTTTCCATCATTAGGATGTGAAATTCCTTCAAATAAGGTATCAAGTACAACCTGACACTGTGCTTCCAGACAATGCGAGGATGAATACCAATGCATTAATTGTAGACATAATGGTTTAAATAAATTTGTTATATCCTTATCGGCATCGCATCCCAAGCACAAAAGTACTTTGCACATCCTGCTTAATAGTTTGTTCATATTTGTCTCATCAGAAATTTGCTTTGAAATACCAAGGAAAATTAGCACTGCCGTATGTAAAACTTCACAAGCTGTGAACCGTTTCTTCCTGTCACTGCAGTAAATTGCTAAATCCAAGATTCTGGGCATCAGTTTATCCAAGTACAAACTCATTACGTTTTCAGGATATGGCAGATCGACTTTTAAATTCATATTCTTGTTCCAAATAACCTCAGCCAAACCTCCGTGCTGGACAAATTCCAAGCACAAATCACCATCCATCCTTCCTAGAAACGCCAATATTTGTTTCTTCAATTTTAACAGCTCGGGCTCGTCTTCCACTAAAATTCTTCTTTTCTTTAAAACTTTTTTAGTCTTTCTCGTTTCTAAATTTATGTTTTCTGGACCAGAACCTGATTGCGACCGTAAGAACGAGTCCAAATGTGGTAAAATCTTCACTAGCAATGGTCGCATTTGCTCTTTCGAGAGATGATCACACCAACGAGTCAATGTCTTCAATCCAAGTTCCGCAATTGTCAAAATCCTTCTGCCAATCGTGAAGACGGCTATGAACAAATCAATGGATTCTATATTGACGGCTTCGATGATTTCTAATGGTGCAGCGAGGAACATTTGCAAGCATGCAACTTGCAAATCGTCTTTGTAATATTTAATTTTCAAAAATACTCCACGCAAGAATTGCACCATGTATTTCAAAGATTCGTTTTCTGTGGTTTTAACTTCTTTAATATATCCCATTTTATCAGATAGTTTCAATGATGCAGCCAACATCTTGTAAAATCCACTGACAAGTGGATGTTCCAGAGATTTAGTGATTAACTGTTTATTGAACAATGATATGTATTCTCTGAATAATGTTGGATCTACGGATTCTAATAAGTCCACGCAAAAATCAGTGATATTAACAAACATCGCAAAATCAGCCTGTTTAGTGGCTTCAAATGAATTACCAAGATCACTCGTAGCCATTTCATCATCCTTTCTCTGCAAATTTAAATTCAGTTTGTAAATCATCGATATCACTGTAAAAACTAGTTCTTTTAACATGGCTTGAGTTATGTGTTTTCTAATTTTCTTATTCAAACCAATTTTCTCAAACTTCCCAGTATTAGGTAAAAGCATCAGGCTTCTCCACAATGGTAAGAATGATTTGTAAGTTGTTTGTTGTTCATTGATAACCTCGACGGCTAAGGTGTGACTACAGGTCCAAAGTACACTTTGATGTATCACATCCATAAGATAATACTTCAATTTGAAATTTCGACAACAGTAGATGCGATAAAATATGATGATCAATGCATCGGCAGCGATGGTTTGATGTCGTATTAATAATTTAGGAAATAATTTGATCAATAATACGGTGATGCGTTGTAGAGATTTAACATGTTTGAAACTAATTTCATCCATTTGCTCGATGTATTCCGAAATTGTTTTAATATACGTAGGTAAGTTCTGTAAGTATTTCTCGCATAAGTCTGGATCCTGCATATAAAGATATTCCAATTGTTGGATTAAATACAGAAATATGTTGTTCACTTCAGTCATGCCGAAGTGAATCTTGCATGGAACAGCTAAATATCCTAAAGCTGATATAGATAGGTCCATTCTATCACCATTAAATCTTCTGCTAGATATGTCGTCCTTAAAGTTTTTTAACAAATCTTTGGTCATTAAATTATGTTCTTCGTTTACTAAACTTAAAGCAACTTGTAAGTTGTAAGCATCTAAAGCTTTGATTCCAGCTCTGAAATCTTCTGCGTTACTTTCTAACCACGGAAGCAAGGAGGTTTTCCACAACTTATGATTTTCAAAAATCTCTTTTTTAAATTTCGAAGAGTGCTGTGCGAAACATTCCAATGCATTTCTGTATGCGGTTCTGATTTTTTCGGATCCTTTATAATCAGCATATTTTAATAAACACGTATGTAATAATTTTATATTTTCTTCTGATATATCAAAACAACACATGTAATTATTTATGCATGCGAACAAACCAGTAATCGTCGGTTGAGAAACCTTCTTAGAGTAAACTTCTTGGTAGAGGAATTTTACTAAAGTCGTTTGCAACTCATCGCATCCTACGTATGAATAATACCTTGCCAACATTCCAATAGTTTCCGCTGAACAAGCAACAACTATAAATATATTAGCAATTAATATGTTATTATTTGTGATAAAAAATTAATAAAATACCAATACTAGCTGTTTCCTTAAATTTGATGTTAGAAATTGCCTTCTTAAATATTTTATTCTGATCATCTTCCGATAGAGGAATTCTCTTAATCAGAATGTTGTTGATAATCTGTTGAGCTTTCTGTTTTAATTTTGCATCGCCGGCGTTTTGTGCGGCAATGCATGTGGCAATTATTTTTGTAACATAATGGATAACTTTTTTTGGGAATTCCGTAATCAGAACGTATATAATTTCAGTGACTTCTTTCACAGATTGCATAAAGTTTTTTTTTGACGTAGTTAGTATAATGAAATTATGTAAGCTATAAGGGGTGTCTCCAAGCGTTGCAACTATATAAGGCTCTGAAAAAAAAATGTAAATTGGTTAACTGATGATAAAAATAAAAACAAATTATCGTCGTGAGTTAGCGAAAGTACAGAAATATCAAATTATGAAAAGTATATTTTCCGGCATCTACAAACAACGTAACAAAAATACATGTTTAGTAGAAAACTTATTTCAATAAAACCTCATAACTGGATAGGCTTCATGCAGTGGCGGATTGTTTTAATATCATTAATTAGAGGATCCTCAAATACATCTTGTATAGAGGCCCCAAATATCCTTGATCTGCCACTGTGACTATCTTGAAGTAAGATTATTGGTAGTCAAGTTATTAAACAGTAAAAGTTATGATATAAAAAATACATTATTAAGAATATCTCAAAACCTAACTTAATATCAAATTACATTATGATAAACTATCAGAACTTATTCAATAAAAATCGTATTCATAATATTAAATATAAGGTGCATCATATTCATGATACAATATGATGCAAACGCATCCTTATTTTGAATTCTTGGATCATACCAAAGTCATTTAGAGGATTAGTAATGTATGCAACCAATTATACACAATAGTATTTAATGAAAAAAGTATGTTTACTTTCATATATTTATAGTGTTTTTTTACTTACCAGCTGCATTATAATCAATTTCTTTTGAAATGAGTGCATTTATGTTTGTTACAATCAGGAAAGCTTCTGTTGGATTACCATTTTCAACGGCATCAAACAATGATTTTAAGTGCGATTCCATTAATTCCATCGTAATAATCACTTTATTATGAACACTAACACTAATTTAACATAAATTTACAGCATATTATGATGAATATCTACAAGGAAGACATCACTGTTAAGTGCCTTTACAATACGATTCACTGAATTGTGATTACCCATTTGTCACAAACGGTTGATTTCGCGCAAATAAGCAAGCAGCAAACCTTCATACACAATCTTCACTTTGAAAATATGCACGTAACCTAAAAGTGAAGAGATGTTTAAATTTATAAGGAAATTAAGTACGCAAAATCAGAGATCTGTTAAGCTCTCTGAATTCCCAGATTTGAATGTGGAATATTTGTGTAACCCAAAGAACTTGCAGTCAATAGCAGAAAACATTAACCGAAGGAAAGGAATTGGAAATGTGGCTCTGGTCAATGAATTGAAGCAGAAGCTTGAGTCAAGTAAGCCAGACACAGAGGAGTATTTAGAATTAAAGAGATCATTTTATAAGGAATTACTACAAATTCCGAACTTCTCTCATCCTGCTGTTATTAACTATGGGGAAGATCCAGTTGAGGTTAAGCGTACAGGAGAGGAAAGAAAATTTGAATTTAAGCCAAGGCAGTTCCATGAAATTACCAAAAGGTTGAATTTAGCAAGGACAGAACATCTGGGCAATGTTTCTGGCACCAAAAGTTATTACTTTTTGGGAGAGTTAGCTGAGTTGGAGCAGGCCTTAATTCAGTACACATTATGCAATTTAGTTAGGAATCAGTTTAAGTTGATGTCTGTACCAGATCTATTGGATAGAAGAATCATAGAGAGTTGTGGTATGAGTACAACTGGTGAACGTACTCAGGTAAAGCATTGCTAGATTATACACACATTTGGATAGAGAAAGTCTGTTTCAGGTTTACAATCTATCTGAGGAGCATAAATCAGATCTCTGCTTATCAGGAACGTCGGAAATGGCTTTGGCAGGTTTCTTTGCAAATAAAACATTTGATTTGAATGAGTTACCACTTAAAGTGGCCACTGTAAGTAGATGCTTTAGAGCTGAAACATCCAGTTTAGCTGAAGAAAGTGGAATATACAGGTGGATTCCAATTTACTAAATAAATTTTTCCTTTACTGATTGTTTCTGTAAACATTTCAGGGTACATAATTTTACTAAAGTGGAGATGTTTGCTGTTGCAAGTCCTTCCCAGTCAGAGCTTTTGCTGGATGATTTTAAGAGTATTGAAGAGGAACACTTTTCTAGTCTTGGTCTGTGCACTCGAACTCTCGACATGCCACCGCACGAGTTGGGTGCTCCAGCTTTTAGGAAGTATGATGTCGAGGCTTGGATGCCGGGCCGAGGAATGTTTGGGGAAATATCGAGTTGCAGCAATTGCACGGATTTTCAGGCCAGGAGGCTAGGAATTCGTAGCGGCGAAGGGTTCCTGCATACTCTGAATGGCACTGCTTGTGCCATTCCAAGAATGATGATAGCATTAATAGAAACTTATCAGAATGATAACGGCACCGTCAGCGTTCCAGAAAAACTGTGGCCTTTCATGAGAGGGAAAAAGAAAATAGGTCGTCAAAAGCAAATCCCTGAATTGAAACTTATTAAAAATAAGAAGTAATGAGATTTGATTTGTTGAGTAATAATAAAAGGTTGAAATATTGTTGTTTCGTTTTCCTAAAAAATAAATCACTTTTATTAAATACAGTTTGTATTATTAAATAAAGGTAAAAGTATTGCACTATATCGGTTTTAATTAGGGTTTTCGAATTTTTACAAAAAAAAATGAGAAAAACCTATTTTGTATTGCTCACACGGATCAATTTCGTATAAATATATTCAGAAATAGAAAAAAACTCACTTGCTACTAAGCTGGGTTTAATCGTCTTTAGATCATTAAATAATGAACTAAATTATTCGTTCTTCTCTTTGTACTCTCTAATAGTACTTCCTTTTTTAATAGGTTGGGGAGGACAAAGTCTTGAAGACATTTATAAATTGATTTTTCAAAGCAAGCTATGATTCGTGTTTCTTCTTCGCCGCTTTTTTCATCATAGTAGTTATCTTCTATTTAATAATTTGACATAATTTTCATGATATTTGTCCAAAAAACTTAACGATCTCACTTTTTGAAGCTTGTGAAAGAAAGTCTTTGTCGAAACGTTCTGTGAACTTTGTAAACTAACAAAAACCTCACTAAACAAAAATCTTAGAATCAGTATTATTTTTTTTCAATTCACATAATAAATTATTTCCTTTGACTGTGAATCTGCTGCTATCCTTAACACTGTCCTTTTCCATCGACTTGGCTGAAGGTGCATATGCTGAACCTCATTCATTTGACTGTCCATCTGTGATGAACGATGGCCCTATTGCTGCAAGCACCAAGGGGCCTCATAAAGGGTCTGGCTTGACCAGGATTCGAACCAGCGCCGGTTTGAACGTGGGTAGGACGACTTAACCAGTCTGCTATTAGTCGCCTAAATATTGAAATATAAGAATTTAATTCTTGATAGAAGAAAATAACAATTTAGTTAAAAAAAAGAAAATTGTGGAAAGGTATAGCAAAATAATAGCATTGGAATAAATTATAGTCCTTTATTTGTAAAGGTATTTAGATTCTTCATTTAAATTACATTAAAAAAAACACTTGGCATAAAATTTGAATAGTGTAATAAGATACTGATGATAATAATAATAATAGTATTAATTATTTTTCATTAAATTCTTCAGATTTACCTTCAGTTATGTACATAAAAACGAATCGAAACAACATTCCAATTATTTACAAATAATTTCGACCTAAAGTACGTTCTCTTAATAATCTAATTAACCATATATAAATAACTATATCTTAAAGTTAGTATTTTTTTATTTCATATCGCAACTTATAAAATATTGTTATTCGAGTGATTCGAAAATGTTAGCCATCCGCATTTCGCAAATTCCTTCATCGCATCGAACGAAATTCATTTTCGAGCAAATATCAACAGTCGATCGTAGAATTCGAAAATGCAGATGGCCAAGAAATTTCCATACACATCAAGGTTCATTGGAGGGAGGGAACAGTTATACATTTTAAATAACGTACAATTATGTTTCTTTTGGATTACGAGCTGGGATTGTTCAATAAGCTTAACCATCATTCAATACGTAACATCAATGAATATACATATATATTTGTTTGTTAAATTCATTTATACTTTTCGCTATCCCAATTTTCTCCGTCTTTGTCGTCATTTCTTTTTTGTTTTGTTTTGTTTTTGGAAGTTTCTCTAATCCATTTAAAACTTAAGTCTTAGTTAATTAACGCGTTCACAGCCGTTGCACTAATAAAGTAGTAAAATTGTCTGCAAATTGGCTGTAGTCTGACTAGAAAATCCTGGTCATAAATATATATTTAAATTGCCTACAAATCCTCATTTCAGGGGGAATAAGTCTAAAAGTTGAATACAATATTTTTTTAAAAATTTGAGCATTGATGTTCTTGTTGTTGTTATTGTTCTTGTAGTTCTTCTCTCTCTTTCAGTGTGATGTTGTATATACGGGTGAACAAATTTAAATATATAAATATATACACGTGGATGATTTTGTCGCAGATTATTTTGTTCTCCATGTTTTTTAGTGTACTTCCTTAGAAGTTCGTGTCGTAATCAGAGCGTCTGCGGCCGCCGTGACTGCTTCCAGGATGCTGGTTGTTCCCATAATACTCGTTATAATAATAGCCATTCCATTCAGATTTCCAACTGTCGTAGAGATTAGCCATGCTATTATCATGGATCGAACCCGCTGATCTCTGAAACAAATAAGTTAAACATTGACATTATGTTCTTAACGACAACAATAATAATCATACTTTTTTGGGTAATTTCGTATCGTAATGTTTATCATTCCAAACATCTTCCATATTGTAAATATCGTCAGCGCCGAAGTTATCGATTCCAGCCATGTGGTTTTTATTGAGCTCATTAAGCATATCTTCGGTTAATGGGACGGGTTGCTTCTTTTTCGCGTTTTTCTGTCTATTGACTAACTAAAGGGTATAAAATGAAAATACGTTATTTATACACAAAAAAATCGATTCAATCAATAAATTACGTACCACACTTACTCCAAAGATAATGACGAATAGAAGGGATGCCAAACCGATGACAATAACGGCAATGGACCATTGAGGAAGATTGTATTTTTCATCAACCGAACTTACGGTTGGGTAAATCTGTTTTGGAAGAACTGTAAAAATAATTACGTTAATATTACTTCTTTCAGTGAATTTACTGTATACGTACCAATGAAATCTGTATACTTGGGATCAACGATAAAGTTTCCTAAGCTTAGTTTTCCTTCGAGTTTTCCATCGCTGATGTCGCTTGATTTAGGTGCACGGTTGGAAGTTTTAGTTAAGGCCACATCGAGTGTATCGTGGAATAACTTTTTAATTTCCAGAGTGTCTACTTGGCGCCCCAGATCGTTTAATTCGACAAGATAGTCCACTAATACGCTGCCTTCGCTGAAGCCATCAATTCTAATCTTCTTATACCACTTGTTCAGTATGTTAGATTTGCTGTACACATCGTCGAGCTGCGATGATAAAAAGCATTAAGTATATACTTACAAATTAATCATTGTATGCAATAATTACCTGAGATTGAACTTCGTTTGCCAATATTTGCCATTCACGAGTGTTACTATCCAGTAATTCCGGTACCCATTTGGCACCTCCAACCAGTTTAATGGTTCCTGCAAGATCACACTCTTTGTAACATATTCCAGGTGTCGTTGGTTTAGGTGTGGTCGTAGTTGTTGTGGTAGTAGTTGTAGTGGTAGTAGTAGTCGTCGTGGTTGTTGAAGAATTAGCCGCCAATGAAGCATTGTATTTAACATCCTGCAATAGCTTAACAACAGAAATTGGTGTTGTAAGGACCGACGGCCAACCGGTAAATTCAGTTGTTGCCCTAAAAGTAAATACAAATTACAAATTTGCAGTGATTAGAAATATACAAAATTGATTACCTCGAAGGCCATCCTTTGTGTATTGATGGTGCTGTGACTACTGGTACATCGTAGTTAATAGATTTAGGTGTGGTTAATCTACCAGAGCTGGATTTGCGAACGCCTCCTCCAGGTCTACTAGGGAATACAATCTTAAAACCTGCCGCTGTTGTGCTTGCAGCCTTTGCAGTTGTTATTTCAACAGTGCTTGGAGTTTCTGTTGTTGATTTAGGTGTGAATCGCCCTTTGTAACCAGCAGGCAAGAATGCAGAAATATCATCCATCGTTATTCCCTTAACCGGTCCTTCTTCTCCAGGTTTTTCAGTTGTAGACTTTTTGTAACCTGGAGGTAGCAAATCATCCAATTTAACAGAAATAACTTCAGGTTTAGAAGACTTCTTGAATCCAGGTGGTAGTAACGCAGACATATCATCAACAGTAATAGTTTTAGATTGTTCGGTAGTGCTTGGTGCTTTGTACCCTGGTGGTAAAAATGCGGCAATATTATTAATTTTAACAATTTCCTTTGGTTTAGATGACGTTGTTGGTGATTTAAAGCCAGGTGGTAAAAATGCAGCAATATTATCCAACTTGGGTATTTCTTTCGATTTGTTTGTAAGCTTGAACCCAGGCGGCAATAGGCCAGTCGAATTTTCAATTGATTTAGGTTTCTCCAATATTGGTTTGGTTTCATCAGGTTTCTTGTATCCAGGTGGTAGGAATGTCGGAATGTTATCGACCTTTTTAATTTGACCTGCTGTAGTGTTCTTTGCGTCAGAAGGAGGTTTAAAGCCAGGTGGTAAGAAGCTAGAAATATCCACTTGTTGAACAGCAGTTTTATTATTTGCTTTTATTCCGATAAAGTCTTCCAATGTTTTTGGTGCTTCAGCTTGTACTTCTTTGGTTGGCTTATACCCAGGTGGCAAGAATTTCGTAAGGTCGGGTATGTTAATATTATTCTTTGCTGAATCACCAGTCGATCTACCTGCAGGTTCATCGCCTTGAGGTAAGTCCAAGTGCACAGGAGGACGAGTAGTCTTCGGTGGGCGAGTCTGGTATCGCGGCTTAAATGTTGGTCGGGCAACCGCTGAGAATTTCTTAATCACGACTTGAGGTGATGTTGTTCGAATAGTCGTAGTTGTAGTGGTCGGAGTAGTGGTTTCAATATCAATCATAGTCGCATTTTTCTCAATTTGTACTTCTTTGATTACCGTAATATTATTACCGCTATTATTAAATCCACCAGTCAACAAGGAAATTGATAAGTCTGATTGAACCCTATCTAATTTATCGTTCAAACTTTCTGTAGACGTATTTGGTTTTGAAGAGACCGTAGTCACAGGTTCATCGGTAGTTGTAGGATCTTCGTCGGAATGTTCATTAAGCAATTTAGTTCTTATGTCTTGTTCTACGATGGGCGAAGGCAAATATCTTGCGCCTGAAACGCTTCGACTAGTTTGTACTGAAGCGATTACCACCCAGGAATCAGAAGAGTCTTCGGGTGTTGAAGGCGTGGTAGGCGAAGTTATTTGTTCGGTTGGAAGTGGATTCGGAGTAGCGATAATAGTGTTATTTACGACGCTTTTAGTTGTAACGACAGAAACGACAGGCTGAATAATGATCTCTTTGTGAGATTCATTCGCCGTTTTAACATCGTTTTCTTCGCTGGAATCTATTACAGTACTATCAATGAACGTTTTGAAATTGTCATCCTTCACCATTGTTGAAGGTTTCATTGTTAAGACGTCGTAACTTTTCACTTGTGGCGCGACGGTTGTAATTGGTTCACTTTGAATGTTATTACTTATTGTTTCTGATTTCGTACTACTGGTTGTTGTAATTGTAGTTGCAGCTGTAATAGTTGTGGTAGTAGCAGCAGTAGTTGTAGGAGGTGTAGAAGTCGTAGTAGTAGTGGTAGTAGGAAGTGGTGTAGTTGAAGTTGTCGTGGTTGAGGGAATGGTCGATGGAGTGCTTGGTGTACTTCTAGTGGTAGTAGGTGGAGCTTTTGTAGTAGTAGTTGTTGTCGTGGAAGTAGTAAATGGTTCCGTTAATTCTTCAGATTTATTGGAATCAACAGCGTTACTAGAGTTGTCTTCATTGGATTCGCCGTTTCTGAAAACAATTTTGGCACCTTCTTCGTGAGTATCATTAATCTCCTTCGAGGTATCTTCTGTGCTTTTCAAGTAATCGTAGTCGGTCGTAAACTCGTCATCGTCTTCGTACTCTTCACTCTCATGGCTAGGCGGTAAAGTGAAGAACTGCTCAGGTGCTAAAGTGATTGCAGCTTGCTTGATAATTTCCACATCGTTTTTATGATTAGAATTATCAGTTTCCTCTTTGATATCCTCTAAAAGAGAATCGATGTCGAGGGAACTTTTCTCCGTGGTGGTCGTTGTAGAAGTCGGCGCCTCTGTTATTTTGAAGGGGAACCGTCTGTGGAGTGTGGTTGCTGGTATCGGGGTTGTGGTCGCCCGACCAGATTTCGTTCCAAAAACTTCCCCGTTGCTGTTTACAAAGTAATCCTTGACTTGCGGCTTCGTCCTGTATTCTCCTTCCTTTTCCGGAGCGAAAATTCTCGTACGGTGATTCAGAAAACTGTTGCGGCCCTTCAAGAGTATATTATTTTCTTTAGTTTTATCGTTATCTACATTCTGCAACGAGTTTGGTGGTTCCGAGAGACGGAATCTGTTGTTCTGCGATTTGGGCTGCTCGTTCCATTGGTTAGGGAAGTTGATGGAAGGTTTGAAAGGGCTGGCGCGATTGCTGAATTCCGGTGGAAGATCAGCCGGACTTTCGATTGTAATTTCACCTAAAAATGTTTCAGGTTGTGAGGGATTGTGGTTGTGTGATTTGAAAAGATGGGAATAGTTCGGACGATGTGTGGAAGGGACAATATTTTCTGTAAACTGAGGCCGGAAACCGTGTGGTTCATTGTAGAATTGAGGCTGTTGAGTTGATGGGAATCGATACTGTGGCAGAGTTTGCTGCAGATGCAACGGGAGGTCCGAAGTCTGCAAGTCTCTCTGCGGATAATAGCTGTCCAAATCATCTTTGAAGTTGTTGTAGTCGTCCTGTTGGTAGGTCGGTATGAAACGGGGCTGCTGTGCTCCGAAGTAGTAATTTTCATCTGAAACGAGAGTAAGGGGAAAAATGAGAAAAGAAAATGTTAATAGCTCTCCTCCAACACGTTTCGTTCCTATCCTATCTGAAAGCACACGCGCCTTGCATTGCTAATAACTATGGAAACCATAAATTCTAATTACGCAAATTGTTACTGCCCCACGGAAAATTAATATTCATTCGTCGCCACTTAAGCTCGACGCATACATACGGAAAGTTTTGCGGCTCAAAAATGCCTCGTCCAACGAAAATATTATATCTTTGCCGTGATTAATATCCACACATTATACGCGAACTTTGCTGGAAAACTTTCGGAACTCTTAAATTAAACATTTTTTTGCCCACCCCATTCACTTCAAACTCAACCCTCACCCCGAGCTATGAGCTATGCAGATATTAAAAAAGTTTCGCTCTGGTTAAAAATAACACAAAAAAACAACAACAAACAACACACAACCTTTTACGGATATGTAACATTAAATTTAAAAAATATAAATAGAAATTTTACAGTTTGTAATTATGCAAAAATATTTAAAGAAGAATCCTTTTTATCCCAACTAAATATACTATTTGAAATAGAATTATTGTATGTTATGTATGGTGTGGATTTAATATTAATCTCATTTATTCTAAATTTCAATAGTACAGATATAAAAATGTAAAAGATGGATGAGAATAATATATTTTTCTACTAGTTTTATGTCTATGATAAAATTGAAATACAGTTTCTTTTATATATATATCGCAGTGCGTCAATGTCATTGTCGAAGTTGTTGTTGTTGAGAATTCTACCTCCTCTAGAAATAATGAGGATGGCTTGGAAGTCGTATTTTCGCGGCGGGGTTGGAGGGGTCTGTCAAAGACGAATGCGGGTGAGAGATTTATTGCGTTGAAGTGGAAAGACGCGCAGCGACGATTAGATTATCATATTGCCGAATGAGCGTCGCGACGCCGGCAAATTGCAGCATTCCTTCTGCTTCTTTTTTTTTCCTCAACAAATTCCGTTTCCCGGAACCGGTGTGTAGGAGGCAGGGTTCTTCGAACACAAACAACAAGGGAAAACTTTCAATTCCTTCCTGCACTTACAACTTCAGGTGCATGTTCTTTACTACTCAATTTAAGTCTGGAATTGGGTCGTTCACACCTTGTCAAACTTTGAATGTCAGCTCTCATTCACCAAAAAAAAATTACTGCATTTTTGTAATTATTGCTTAACAATTGAAAATAATTATGTGAAATTATAGTATAGGTTTTGAATGATTTTTTCTTATTCCAAGAACATAATTTAAAATATCAAATATCATAAAAATCATAAAATATCAGAAATCTGTTTAAATTAAACATTGAAGAAATATTGTTATTTTTTTTGTCATAATATATTTTGATACAATTTTGAAAATTATTATATAATAAATAGAAAATTTACAATTATTATTGTTTACTTGTACTTCCTACCTCATTATAAGTAAATGCACGTAGGCCTATTGTAAATCTTCATATATTATACAATACTAACATTGGTTAACATTAATTAGAACTTATTCTAGATGGTTTGTCTTTGTTGCGTTATAAAATAAGTAATAGAGAAGCATGGGAGTGATATATTTCGATATTTGTATGGAAAAGAAATAATAAACACTGTAGGAAAACGAAAGTGAAACTTGCGGAGCGAAGAAAACTAGGCCGTACGTTGACAGTTTCGTTGTTCTTGCTGCATGCTTCATGCAACCTAGATGAGGTTCAACAGTAGAAGTGGTATCTATACAGTTGCACCACACACGTGAGATTCATATTTAATTACAAAACATTTACGAGCAAGGTCGAACATAACTCCAAGCTTTCTTCATCCGAAGAGTTGAGTGCACATATTTTGGGCGTATGCGAAATGACCTTACGCTTTGCGTTTAAGGAACGGCGCCGAAGGAGCGACAACCTCCACCATCAGATGATTCATTTCTCTTCGGATAACAGTTAAAATCCGACGATTTATGGTTATTCGGGTATTATGCAAATTCGCATATCTTTTTTTTTTTGGGGAATTTTTTATATTTTGTTTCATTCCCATCCTTATGTTTGCTTTGCGAGGATAACAACAACCTGGAACACATTGATCTGCATGAACCGAACACTTGGTTGGTTTATTAATCCTCGCTGATCTGCGAAATATTGGAATTACCATTGCAATGAGCTATTACCAAATTGGATGGGTTTAGTGTAAAAGTGATTGAGATGGGTGGAGCAATCAACAATAACAACCTCCTCGACTTGAATGCATAATTCGCAAACATAATCCACTCGCACATTACGGCCGTAATTGCTTCGGTAATTAAGGCGTTTGCGGCAAAGGATTAAATACAATTGTGGCTTGAGTGCCATGTCCCTTGCATAAGCATCCTTGATCTTTGCCGGAACGCATTCTTTCAACAAAGTTATATTACTCATTATTATTTATATATGATTAATAAACATAATCTGAATAACTTTAATTTCATCTTGAAAATATTAACTTGATTGACTAAATAACACGGAAATGCATTATAAGTTATGTACTAAATACAACGTAATGATTATGCTATCTATATAAGGTATATTGACTGGAAATACAGAATATGAAAGTTTACACATTTTTAAGAATTTATTAGCAACAAGAAAATATATTACCATTAGTCAATACTTAAAATTATTATTTATAATAATATTAATATAACTCTTAATAATTGTTATAATAGAGTAATTAACTGATTTAGATAAATTGGATTCAAATAGAAAAACTCCAATAATACTAAAAAATACAAATTCAGTTGCTTATAAAATTCAATAATATTTGATAAATAAAAAATATGGATTTTTTTATTTTGTGGCTAATTATATAAACTATGCTGTTTAACTCTATAAAACTTCTATTAAACAAAATTTGTTACAAGCAATACAATTGGTATTTTAATACATTTTAAATAGTTAAAAGTAAAGGTAAAATGTGGATATAGGCGAAGTTATTTTTAGTTTAAATTTAAAAAATCGATATATTAATATATATTTTGTGATGACGATTATTGAATTATTTGTAAGGTTTAAAAAAATGAAATTTGAATAAATTGTAAATTCACAACGTAGGCTTTTCGCAATATAATTATCCTCATATTATGGATATGTGGATTGAAAATTTGTCGGTGTTTCCAATTATATATTTTTGCACTGTATTTAATTGCACGTGGTATTTAGTATAAAGTGACCCATAGGTGGTGCGAATTGAATAAGTTGATAACTTAAGAAAGGAAATGCCATTAAATTTGAATTGCATTATATCTTAAAGATAAATAAGGTTAGGTGGGTGACTAATCACGAAACGCAATTAAAACATAATTAAATGTTAATAAGTAGCTAAAGTAGTCTATATTTGTGGAATACAAATTAATGGGTCGTAACGGCTCTAGTTAAAAAAAAAGCTTGGAAATTTGCTGTCGAATTTGGTAAGTAAAGCGGAATGAAGCATCGACGACCGCATTAAAAAAAGTTTTTAATTATCGGCGGTAGGAAATTAAGTGTGTTGCATAGAGATTTGCCGCAATCCCCGGCGGTTACGATTAAAACCGCGTTAAATCGGATATATTTATTAATTCACTCCCATCAAAAGCGTTACGCGCTCCCTTGCATAATCCGAGCACAGCAGTTGCACAACGCCAAAAATGGATTCGCTTTGCACAGAAATGATGAAAAAATTAGAAGAAATCGTTACGCAACCGCATATTTTTCTTCAATATGGAACGTGATTGATACGGTCCGATGGATGCGTTAGCATTTACAGATTGATTTGTTTCAATGAAAAAGAAAAATATTGAAGAAGAATAATAAAAGAAGACAAGCAGGAATCTAAAGACGAATAAGAACAATGCAAATAACTGCTTAATTCGCTGGGATTTGGAAGTCGGTTTTCAATAGGTGTACAACAAAAGTAAACAAAACAAGAAATACAAGCGCATGCAAAATGAAACAGGGATTTTTAATGGCATGAAATTCCGGTATATGTAATAATTTTTTTTTTCGAAGGTTGTTGTCACGTTGTTGTCAGTCAGAAGAATGTCCGTTCTGTGAAGTAACTCACCTTGAGTTTGCAACCGCACCTTCGATTTGCATTACGGACAATCGACGCGGAGCGAAACCCATTTGCTATTTTGTGTCTTGTCTCCTTTATTGTTAGTTTCCTTGAAGAAATATCGATCTAGATTAAAAAGGATATATAATCTGGCTTCTCGACAACAGGCACATACTCGTATGTCCGATGTTTCCAGGAGAGGAAAATATCGCAATAGCGATAAACAAAGGCCGGGCCCTTCCTTATTCTTTATGGACTTTATGGACTCTGCACAGCGGCTTGTGTCCGCACACTCTAATCGCAGAGGTGGAAAGATACAATTTTGAGTTACGATGTGTAAACCATAATGATACACAAGAAATAAAAACGGGTAGAAAGGTTCATTTGCATACAATCATAGTGAAAGGAGCATAACTAATAATTTCCTTCCATTATTATGTACTTCCAAAACACCTGCTTCTTTCCTTAATTTACAAATTTCTCAGCATTCCTTACTAGTATAAAACGTGTGTAGGATCAATAAATATCCTTGTTCTTCATGTGATTTCCTATATTTAGTTTCAACAGCACATTCACTATTCTTGTTTATTTATAGTAATATATATATTTGTTTATTTTACAACCAACAACATATGATATTACATAGATTAACTAAAAATCAATAAAACCAGAAAACCACAATGTGGGTTTTTGCAATTTTAAATTAAGTTTTAATTTGTAAATAGAAAGTAACAGTTTAAAGTCATCATGGATGCTGCATATAACTTGAATATTGAAATATTTGTATTACTCATTTCATATTATGAAATAATGCTTCGGGTGACTTTTGATATTTGTTCCAAATGACTTCACTTGTTGTCTTTACTCTTTTGTTATAACTCAGCTCAGTTTTCACGTTCCTCATATTACAGTAT